CCCCAGCAGCCCGCGAAAGTGGCGAAGGGATGGCCAGGTGGGAGGCAGGCTGGCACTCAGCGACGAGCGATGTAAAAGGCAGGAGGGAAGAGACGGACGGGAAGGAAGGAAGAAAAGAAGGAGACGCGCGAGCAGTGCTCTATTCAAAACAAGAACCCAACGCAGGAGGGTTGGGAAAAAAGTGGCGACAGCTTCACAGATCGCAGCCCCCCAGGGATGGCGGGGTTCCATTTGAGTCCGCAGTGGGTACCCACTGTGCTGGGCCCCCCAGCAGGCCTCGAAAGTGGCGACAGTTTCACAGATCGCAGCCCCCCAGGGATGGCGAGGTCCCATTTGACTCCGCCGTGGGCACCGACTGTGCTGGGCCCTCCAGCAGGCCGCGAAAGTGGCGACAGTTTCACAGATCGCAGCACCCCAAGGATGGCGAGGTCCAATTTTAGTCCGCCGTGTGCACCCACTGTGCTGGGCCCCCCAGCAGCCCTCGAAAGCGGCGCCAGTTTCACAGATCGCAGCCCCCCATGGATGGCGAGGTCCGTGGGTACCCACTGTGCTGGGCCCCCCAGCAGCCCTCGAAAGTCGCGACAGTTTCACAGATCGCAGCCCCCCAGGGATGGCGAGGTCACATTTGAATCCGTCGTGGGTGCCCACTGTGCTGGGCCCCCCAGCAGCCCTCGAAAGTGAAACAATTTCACAGATCGCAGCCCCCCAAGGATGGCGAGGTCACATTCGAATCCGCCGTGTGTACCCACTGCGCTGGGCCCCCCAGCAGGCCTCGAAAATGGCGACATGTTCACAGATCGCACCCCCCCAGAGATGGCGAGGTCAAATTTCAATCGGCCGTGTGTACCCACTGTGCTGGGCCCCCCAGCAGGCCTCGAAAGTGGCGACAGTTTCACAGATCGCAGCCCCCCAGGGATGGCGAGGTTCAATTTGAGTCCGCCGTGGGTACCCACTGCGCTGGGCCCCCCAGCAGCCCTCGAAAATGGCGACAGCTTCACAGATCGCAGCCCCCCAGGGATGGCGAGGTCACATTTGAGTCAGCCGTGTGTACCCACTGTGCTGGGCTCCCCAGCAGGCCTCGAAAGTGGCGACAGTTGCACAGATCGCAGCCCCCCAAGAATGGCGAGGTTCCATTTGGATCCGCCGTTGGTACCCACTGAGCTGGGCCCCCCAGCAGCCCTCGAAAGTGGCGACAGTTTCGCAGATCGCAGCCCCCCAAGGATGGCGAGGTCCATTTTGAGTCAGCCGTGCGTACCCACTGCGCTGGGCCCCCCAGCAGCCCTCGAAAGTAGCGATAGTTTCGCAGATCGCAGCCCCCCAGAGATGGCGAGGTCACATTTGAATCCGTCGTGGGTGCCCACTGTGCTGGGCGCCCCAGCAGCCCTCGAAAGTGGCGACAATTTCACAAATCGCAGCCCGCGGTGTGTACCCACTGTGCTGGGCCCCCGAGCAGGCTTCGAAAGTGGTGACAGTCTCACAGGTCGCAGCGCCCCAGGGATGGCGAGGTCTAATTTGAATCCGCCGCGGGTGCAGACTGTGCTGGGCCCCCCCCCCCCAGCAGCCCTCGAAAGTGGCGACAGTTTCACAAATCGCAGCACCCCAGGGGTGGCGAGGTCTAATTTGAATCCGCCGCGAGTGCACACTGTGCTGGCCCCCCCCAGCAGCCCTCGAAAGCGGCGACAGTTTCACAGATCGCAGCACCCCAGGGATGGCGAGATCTAGTGTGAATCCGCCGCGAGTGCACACTGTGCTGGGCCCCCCAGCAGCCCTCGAAAGTGGCGACAGATTCACAGATCGCAGCCCCCCAGGGATGGCGAGGTCTAATTTGAATCCGCCGCGAGTGCACACTGTGCTGGGCCCCCCAGCAGCCCTCGAAAGTGGCGACAGTTTCACAGATTGCAGTTCCCAGCCGCGGTGGGTACCCACTGTGCTGGGGCCCCCAGCAGGCCTCGAAAGTGGCGACAGTTTCACAGATCGCAGCCCCCCAGCTGGCACGCAGCGACGAGCGAAGGCAGGGGGGGGAAAGAGGGACGGGGGGGGCGGGAAGGAAGGCGCGAGCAGTGCTCTATTCAAAACGAGAACCCAACGCAGGAGGGCTGGGAAAAAAACTTCCATGGCGGCTATTTCAATGCATGTTTCTACACTTCCCTGGTCAAGGCAACTCGCCTGGCGATATGTTCCTGCACGGGCTGGCGGGTGCGTCTTTGCTGGTTCGCGGGCTCGCGGCGGCTGCAAGCCGCGAAACAGGGCCAGGAGTGACAGAACAAAGGATGACGAGGAGCGGCAGCTTATCGCTGTGGAGGCGCGGAGGACAGGATGGAAGGCGACGGCGACACCTGGAGCAGTTCATCGCTGCAAAAGCATGGACAGTGGAACCGAGTACAAGGTGGTGAGGAGCGGCAGCTGATCGCTGCAACTGCACGGAGGCCAGGATGGAAGACGAAGGCGAACCCCAGGAGCAGCTGATCGCCGCAGAAGCATGGACGGTGGAACCGAGTAT